TAATCAGAGTTGCATATTTACTATAATTGGTTAACTTCTTCCAGTATCAAACTCCTTATCTTACATGGCAAACAGGCTTTGATCCAAAAGGAAGTTAAGCATTTTATGATATAGGAATAATCAAACAGATCACAATCAGATTTTTATATGGGCTTAGGGAACACTTTTATTCCTCGCCCATATAAATGCATGAATCTATGCAATTCATATCATGCCTGTGCATATGTTGGCCAAGTTATTTTTCATCACAAGTTTTTCATAATCAAGAAAATAGAATTGGAAATCAAAGCAACCTTGGATAACTCCAATTAGTAAACGGCAATAGGCTTTTAAACTCTGTAAGGTAACTGAATATATAATATACACAACTGCTTTGAGAACAAATAGAGAACCAAAGATCAAGCATACAGGGTTACTTTTCCTAAACAAAGAAGTAAAATTTTATTCCAAGCATCTACCAAGATTTGCTTCCTATGTAACCAGATTCCTTTTTAATCTATTAATGAAGTATAAATTATGTAAATTATCAAAACTTTAAATTTTTAAAGATAATAAAGGAAATGCAAGATTAACCCAATATGCAAGTATCACTATTTTTTAATGACAGGTCATCTTTATCACTGTCCTTTCCATTCCATATTAGAATCATATACAACAGTGAAAATAGCATTTTCCCAAACCTATAGCCTGAACTGACTGATTTAATAAACCAAACCTTCTGATAGCAGATTATATGCATTCATTTGTAGTTATTTAGAGACTGAGATGGTTCTAAATAGGCAATTCTAAATAAACATGAATAGATAATTGTCAGAATCCTGTTTTTTAAAAGAAACAGATTCATTTTTTAAATACCTCTGGAATTATGAATAGTACAACATTTGACACCAAGAATTTAGGCCCTATGTTGTGTGCCCTAAGAAAGCTTAAGATATCTGAGCTAGAACTAATTATATAGAAAATTGGTTTTTAAAAGTGATATAAAATAAATGAACTTGGGAAGTGCCGCTTAATAGCTTCTTTGAATAATTAAATCAAGGACTTCAGAGTATACTAATCAAACGCTTTGAACTGGAGGATGTGAATTATCACTTATAAGAAGTCTTTGGCTAAGCAGGTTGAATAATAAATGAAACTGTTGTCTATATTTTCATTCTTCTTGAGGTTGACTGAGGGTAGAATACCTAAAGGGCTCACTCAAATTATTATATGAAACTAATATGTAAAGGGGATTTTCTGATAATATTCATAATGTTTGTCTTTATTTAACTTATAGTTTTCCTTCTGTACGCAGTTACAATTGTAAGACAGAAAAGATTGCATACATCCTCAAAAATAGCAATATTTTGCTAAAATGATTTGCACATATGATGACATTTCTTGTGCCAAGTATAAGGGGGAAAAAAGAAATAGAATAATAACTTCATAATTTTATGTCTTCAGCAAGAAAATAATCTACCTGAGGAAGACAAGCTGACTGAGTAACATGCGGACCCATCTTCCTTTGAAGAAAGAAGTGGATGGGCCTATTATTGAGAACTATAGTAGAGGTTATCTTTTGATCTGAATTATGATTCTGCATTAAACAAGTTTCACTTTGCATCAGCCTCTACTCAGATGTTTTATAGAATTGTTTCCATGTAAACTCTGTTTCAACAATTTGGTGCTATATTAGAGTTGAAATAAAGACAAGTAAATGTGGATTATAGTTTTGGTGTGCTGTTACAGTAGCCATCCATGTGTTTGTGCTTTAAGTATAACTTTGTTTACATGGTAACAATAGATAAAAAACACAAGCACTCTGAATTACACTTTAATGCAGGAAGAATCCTTACCATGCAGTCAATGGGCAGTTTACCACTGAGTTAGCAGATATGCTGTTTCCCTGAGCTGATGCCTATTTACTTAAAAATGTGTATGTTTAATGGGATATACTTCCAAGAGAATATATTGCTCTTTTCTTCACCAGCAACATTATTGTGCTTTTTGTCACTTATTTATACATTCTACTAGCATAAAAACATCATATGTAATAGAAAAATAAAGTTCACTAATTTGCTAAAGGACTTCTGCTAGCAACATATGCAGATAACATATTTCAGGCCCTTCCACACAGCCACATAACCCAGAATATCATGGCAGAAAATCCCACAATATCTGTTTTGAACTAGATTATCTGAGTCCACACTGCCATTTAACCCAATTCAAAGTAGATAATGTGAGATTTTATTCAGCTGTGTGGAAGGGGCCTAAGTCAGCTCTTTTGACTGCTCCAGCCCAGTATTATCAATTTTGCCTGGTAACAACTCTTTCATGGTTTCAGATTTTTTTTCCCTAGCCCAACCTTGCTTAGTTTCTGAAAACAGATGTGATCAGGTTTGTTTAGGGTGGGTGTGGTAGTAGTATACCTTATGAAACTTCAGATTAATTTTCTGAGTAGTTTATAAAATGGCTGTTCATCAACATTCCTCAGAAGGCTGCTCTAGAATTAATGTTTTTTTTTTATTCTAAGACACCATTGACTGTAAAACACACACCAATTGCAGTACCACCAACAGAAAAAGAGCTTTATTTATAGATCTTATTTATTTATTTATTTGCCCTATTTATATCCCAGCTTTTTCTACCCCGAAGGGGACTCAAGGTGGCTTACAATAGAGGTAATTATTCAATGCCAAACATGTACAATTCCAAAATTGAAAGTAAAGATTAAAACTTATTAAAAATTTAATATTTTAAACATTACATTCTATATTAAAATTACACCATCCATAATCATAGTCCAAGCCGTTCCATGGTCATTGCACATTATTTCAAATCTGTTATTTTCTTATATATAAGAAAAGCAATTGCAATTCTAAGACACATTCAATTTTTAGAGATGTTCATATGGAGAAAAAAGTGTGTCTTAGAATCTAAGAACTAGGATAATTCATTAACTTATCAATAAATAGGAAACAAAGAAATAATGAGTCATCAGGTGAAGAATCCTGTTGAAATAAATGACAAAATTTATTATGCTTTGGGATTTCATTTTGAATAGAATCAACTTGTTAGAGTTAATATTGCTATCACAATTTATCATTCAAGTGAATTTAATCCTAACAATTGGAACTTTTTTAAATTAAGAAAACTGGCTTTAATTGGTACAGTATACTACCATAATGCCATTTATGGCATTAGTTGTGCTTTTAAGACTAAATTAGCCACATTTTCCATTCATCAAAGCAGTATATAAGAAAAATAAAACTTTATCTACTTGCTGAATGTTTCCAGAACTAGCTCAAATTAGTTTATCAGAAGGGTGTACAGCTAAGAAAGATAGTGCTAAAACAGTTGTTATTTCACTTTTTAATTTAAATACAAACCTTAGCCATTGAGATTTGTCTCTTAAATGAATAACTGTTACAAACAATGCTACAGGAATTCATGTTCTAATAGCAATTTCTGTTTAAACCAAGTTGCCAAAAGGTTGGCCTAAATAGCCTTAAGTATGGACAGTTTTGTACTCACTTACCTGGGAGTAATCCTATTGAATGTAAGGGACTTTCATCTGAATAATAAAGGCATAAGACAGTGCTTATGTACAAAATGAGATGGCCTATAAAGCAGGAACTAGCAGAGAATGGGAAGGTATATTTATAAGAACATTAGAAGAAAACTATAAGTTTTCAAAATATAAACTTCATTGGTCCAGTTCAAGCTATTAGTTATACCTATATATAGGAGCACCTAGTTCTTTAAAGAATCTACTTGGAAGAGACTAAAGAAATTCTAAAAGTTGCAACTTTAATGCTTGAAATAAGTTTCTACTTTTAATACTAAAAACAAATACCTTTATAAACATTTTCAGAACATGACAGAAATCAATTTAATTTTTTTTTACAATGACTATCTTTGAACTAAACACTGAGCAAGAAAGCCTATCATTTGCTACTCTTGTAGTGTTTCTAATTATTATTATTATTATTATTATTATTATTATTATTATTATTATTATTATTTTATATTCTGCCCTATCTCCCTGAAGGGACTCAGGGCAGCTCCCAACAAAAAAATGGCTAACATTCAATGCCAGAATACATTAAACAAAGACAAAATAAACAACCCTGCCTAATCCCAAAAGTAAATCCATAACTATAACAAAGTAAACAATAAATTAAATTAAATAATAACATTTAGACTCCTGTTAGCATGTATTAAATATAATAAGCGTGTATTTTAAAAAATAACCTCCCATGTAAGCCTACCTCATGATATTAAAGATATTTAAAAACTCCTTATAAAGTCATGGTAGAACATACTGAAATACAGCTCCTATATCATTGTCTATAAGGCAATGAAAGGGGAAAAAACATGTCATCTGTCTGTGAGTCCAAGGAACACTCAGACCTGTCTTACAGTCAACTACAATGTGTGGATAATTTCCTATGATATAGATCGAAACATACCATTCAGGCCTTAAAAGAACTGACATACATAATTCAAAATAAGGATGACTATGAGGCATTCCAATCTCTCAGCTTAATGTTTACTATTAATCTTTTCTTTGCCTTTGTTTGCTCACGCTTGCCCCCTTTCCTTGTTATTTGGAATGCTTGTGTACGTAAATGCTGTAGACACCCAATGCACTATTACCACCTGTACACAAGCTCACAAAATGCACAATACAAAAGAAAGAAAAGGGGGGGAAACCATATCAATTCCTGACGGTGCTAAAATATATCCCTTCACACCACAACTATAAATAAAAAGGGAGATGATAGATGAATATATAAAACGAGAAACTGCTTTGAAATCAAGCCCTTTTTAATTGAACATATATGCATTACAGGCCTATTAGATGGAGGTGGAAGGAAGAAAGGAAGGGAGGAAGGAAGGAAGGTGGAGGGGGAGCTCCAAGAGCAATGGCAACAGCGCCGTCCCCCATTGCTGGCGCTGAGCTGAAACAAACGGCGCCTGCAGCAGAAGCAGCATTAACCACGGCGGCGGCGGCGGCGGCTCCCCTTGCGTTCCTGCTCCAGCATCAGCTGAGCGCGGCTGTCACGTGGTCGGGGTGTCGAAGGTCACGGCGCGGCTCACAATGGAGCTGTCGGAGCCCGTGCAGAGCGGCTTGCAAGCCCTGGCCGATCCTGGCTGCTTCTCCTCGGCCGCCTACGCCGCTCTCCTCCAGGCCGCTTTCCGGAGCTTGCTCAGGAGCCAGGCCGAGCAGGCCTTCTTAGGTAAGCCCGCGCCGTTGCCTAGAGTCGGCAGGAATGGAAGGGAAGCCGTAGTGTTTGGATTCTTTCTTGAGATCTCCTTGCAAAGTGAAAGGAGAGCGGGGGTTTTTCCTTCCCTTTGCTCCTCTCTTCCTGGTGCATTCATTGTTCAGCCTGGTTGCTGTGTCTCAGCAGCAGCAGCGAGCCACAATTGCTTCCCCTTGAAACGCAGGAAGTGTCCCCTTGCACCGAGGCAGCCACCCACACACGGCCTTTGTTTCGTTTCTTTCTGTTATGGTCGGGGCCTCTTCTCCATTGCCCTGCGGTTGTCACTTCCTTGCAGAAATGTAAATATGTCTTGCGCTTGGGTGTTTTATTTTGGTTTTTTGGGCCTAGAAGCAATAGCACAGCCTCTCTCTCTTTCCTGAAAGCCCAGAGCCCGTTGTGTATGTCTTGCTGTCCTTTCCCTTCGCCCTTTCTTGTCGGTTTGTTCCCGCTGCTTTTGTATATATTTTAAATTTTTCCCAGAAGAGTTATTCTGGGCAGCCCTGGAGTCACCTTTTTGTTGTTGTTGTTGCAAAGGTCAGGGTTGTAAACGGGTTGATTTATTTTCGGAAGGCGCAGTGGAAACAAGCCTCAAGATCAGTTGGTTGCTCCGAGCTTCACCCCGGGCTGAGCACAGTGTTTGTGTGCCTTCTTTTTTTTTATTTAAGGCCTCGCGCTTTTGCCTGGGCGGTTTCTGTGTTTCAAAAGCAACATTCTGCACCGGCGGTTGTGTATGCTGGCAAAGTGGCCTGGCTGCTGTTGTTCCCAGGCTTTGCTTTGCATTGCAGGCAAGTCAGGAGGTTGTTTCAGCCGCTCGCCTGAATCCTGGGGAGCAGCTTGCTTTGCTAACGCGCGGCCTCCGGTAGGAACTGGCCTGAACTGCAGTTGTCGAGCAGATAAATAAAACTCAGGAAACAAATCAGAACATTTGTGTGTGTGTCTAGAAGGGCTTGTAGAACACGATTGTATGAGGAGCAAGGCAATAGAGCCAGCTGAAGGCTTATATTGTAAGTAACCGCTTGGAGAAAAATGGTTTCCTAAGATTATCTCGCCTCCAGTTTCAAATGGGAGAAAGAAATCCTAGCGCCCAGCCCACCCAGAAAAAGGAGAAAGTCATGCTCCAAATGCAAGTTTTCCTTGGTTATTCAGCAGCACAATTTCCTCCGCAGCTCCTCAGTTGCCAAGAAATTCCAGGCATTGATTGCATATGAAAACGCATGGGAAGGGGAAAACCAGGACACTGTCTGTAGAAAATTCATGAGAGGTAGGCCTTATGTTCCAAGGCCTGAACTTTATGGGAAAACCCAACATTAAATGCTATTAAAAATAACGTGTCAGAATCAAAGTCTTTGGGGAAAGTATGTGTATGTGATTAAAAGGAAGTTGAGATTTTGCCAAAATTAGGTATGATTGATTACAAAGGGAGTTTTGTGAGACAAGCACCAGAGTCAATACTATGCTTACAGGCTGTCGATATTGTATGCATCCTAATGGACCAACAGCTATTGCAGTCCTACTCTGTTAGTCTATCTGTAGGGAAATATTCAGAATATGTATTTTAAACTAACCCCTCCCACCAAATAAATCATCACCAACCCGTTTATTTTTAGATCACCCAGATCTGGAACAGATTGATCCAGCAGTATTAAAATATTGCCATGCTGCAGCTGCAACTTGTATAGTGGAAGCTGGAAAGCAAAAAGCTGACAAATCTGCCATAAGGTATATTCCTATTTTAATGCCCTTCAGGGGTTGAGTTTTTATGCCAATTTGATTAAAACTTGCATGAGTTGTACTGGGCATTAAGTTTAACACTTTCTATTTTTGATTTTCCTTTTAGCACCTATTTAGAAGACTGTAAGTTTGACAGAGAAAGAATTGAACAATTTTGCACAGAATACCAGGTTTTTAATCTAGTTTTGCCCACTTTTATCCCCCATTTCATATTTTAGTTAATCTGTATAAGAGACAAACATTTTCCCTCTTCCCATTTACAGAAAAATAAAGATAACTTGGAAATCCTATTGGGAAGGTATGTCATTTTAATATTATGAGACTGAAATATTGAATATACTTATGGAAAGCCCCACTGATTCATTCTGAATATATATATAAGATATGTAAGAATATATGTATAAGATTATAAGATTGTGCTGTTGGTTTTCAATTCCATTATAACATAGAAGTGTAAGAGACTTCTAGAATGAATACAGTGAATACAACTTCTGCAGAATTTTGTCAGTTGGAGTAACATGTTTCCTTAAACTGAACTTGAACTACACTTAATTGATCTATATATCAATGAAGTGTGCAACAGTTTATTACCAGGCATAATATAACCTAACAGATAATTATTGTATTCTCCAGTACAGGGAGATGTCCACCACATATAACTGATGTTTGTTGGCGCTTAGAATACCAAATAAAGGTAACTGAATTATATAATTTATTTTACTATTTTTCTCTTTGTGTTAAATTTTGACCTTTTCCTTTCATTACTACTTTAGACGAATCAGCTTCATAAAAACTATCACCCTATCTATCTGATGACCCTAAATGTAGAGGTACTGTACTCATCCTTAGCATTCTGTAATTATTAATAAACTAAAGAAATGTTTCAGGGTTTGTCATTTATTAATTTTGTGTTGTTTGGGGTTTTTTTGTTCCTTTAGAACAATGACTCAAGATCTCACCAGGATGTCAATTTTAGTTGTTCTATGGAGCAGCTACAGGTATATTTATATCATCTTTGTGTGTATCAGTACCCAGTATCACCAGAGTAATTATATTTTCTACCAGGAATCCACTAAAAGTAAACTTCACAAATATGTGAAAACATATTATTTTTCCTTTCCCTTTTGAAAACATATAGAATGATTATTTACTTTTATAATTTCTGAATATGGGATTTCAAGTTAATACTAATGTAGGAATATTCAGTGGGGAGTGGGAAGGGAACAACTCTTTCAAATATGTTCTGAAAGAGAATATACACGTTCCATCACAATATAGTTGACATAACAGTGCAGGCAGTACATAAATCATCTTTCTTGGGGTTTTCCTCAACTTACTTATTATAAACTTTTTTTTTTGCATTAGGAAATTTACATTGTCCAGAGCTAACAAAAATAAATTTAAAACAGAACTTAAATATTTCCTTTTAAATTCATGTTCAATCCTATTTACTCTTACCTGAAAGAAAGTGCCATTGGAGACAGTGGGACTTCTGAACAAACATTCATAGGAGTGTATCTTTGGAAAACAGTAAACATATTTTAGTTTGATATACCATTTACTGAAAATTCCGTCATTTTAAATGATGGTGCATCTGAGAAAACCCTTTAGGATTGCAGCCTTACAACTTTGTTTGATCAATTCATTTGTAAATTACACTAAGTGGCAAGTCTTATAATCATTGTAAAATGTCCCAATCTTAGTAGCATAACATTCCTGTTATACACATTATGCATATACCCCTTACTAAATATGGTAGAAAGGTTTTATGCTTCTCAAAGATCAGGAACATTTCAAATATAGCCAGAAAGGTAAAATATTAAATAGATAGCCACAATTTCACACAGGTAAATTTTGTATCTTTTAAAGGACAATAGAGATTCGTATAACTTTTAAGACATGCAAGCAACCAGATAACTACCACAAAAAAAGTTGTTTTCTAAAGTTTTTGCTCCATGTTTTAGGATTTAGTTGGAAAATTAAAAGATGCAGCTAAAAGCCTAGAGAGAACAACTCAGCAGTAAATGCAGAGGTGCCAGTCTACTGGATGGAAGAAGACAGAACATGAGATGATTTTTCTTTGTTTGTTGGATGAAACTATGATAACCTTTGGCCAGTACTTTGTAAACAAGAAGACAAGATTTGTTCTCAGTCAAGACTATTGTATTTTAATAACATGTCTTACAGAGATGTTTGTTAATCAACTGTCTCTTTTCCTATTTGCTTACTGTTCACTCTTTTGAGGAAAAAAACCCTTTCATTTTTCCATTTCTTATTTCTAACCTCTAATAAAGAGAGAGAATTGAGTTTGTGTGTCATAGCTGCCTTATAATAGTGGGGTTTGTTGGGAAGGCTTTTCATGAAGTCCTTTCTGTAGAGTCAACATTCCAAGATTAACCTCCCCAGCAAAAATCACTTTCAAGATCTGTGGACCTCTGAAGCTAAGGAGGACTTCATTGTGTTGTAATTAAGCAGTCAGCCTGCTTGTATCTCATTTGGCTAAAGGGTTACAGGTTTTTTTAGTGATTCACACGCAAAGGTTGAGACACGAAACTGTCATTCATCTGTTTCAGCTCAGATTTACTCACTAAATATTCAGTAGTTTATGTAGATAGACAATGGCAGTCGTGCCCTTAATTGCACCAGTCGGTCCCTTTTCACTTCAATGCCGTTGAATGGTTATAAATGGAATGTGACCAGCCTTGTCTCCGCAACTTAAAACAAAAAAACAACCCTGCCCTCTCCCCCATCTCGCATTTCCCATTAGCAATTATATACCCAGCCTGGGAAAGGGGTAGGGATTCGGCACAGATTTATAAAGGGAAGGGGGGAAAAAACATGTTTCACTTTCCCCCCTTCCTTGTGTTTTCTGTGATATCATAGCAAAAGGACTAGTAACATTCTCTACCTGGAAGAGAGGATAACCATATTGCCAGTAGAAGGTCCAGAGGCTATCAGTCCTTGTAGTCTGGAGTGATTATCCTATATATTTGTTTTCTACTTGGAAGGGAGGATAACCATGTTGTCAGTAGACCTCTGGAGAATCCTTTTAGTCTGGAGTGATTAGCCTATATAATATTTGCCAATAGAGAGAACACCCTGTCCATTTGATGAAGTGTGCTGCATTCTAGGAAAAGCATGTTCTGGATAAAATGGGCTAACCTTTAGTGTTTCACATAACTATGGGGTTTTTCCCCTTCTTATGGAAAACTCTTAGAACTGTAGGATCCCCAGCACACTCAAGGGCAAGATGCCCAAAATCCCCCAATATCTACATTATGTGTGTGAGAGAGAGAGGAGGGGGGGAGAATGAAGGGTGCAGGATAAAAAGTCAATTCTGCCCAAATTTGTGGGAGGGGAGACCTCCATTTATGCACAGTAGCCAATCTGGGTGGTTTTAATTTTTTTCAACATTAAGGAAGAGAACAGATCCCGACAAGAGGGGAAAGGCAAGGATATCCTCTTCAGCAGGCATGGGCAAGCTTGGGCCCTCCAGGTGGTTTGGACTTCAACTCCCATCATTCCTAACAGCCTCAGGCCCTTTCCTTTCCCCCCTCAGCCAATTAAGTGGCTGGGGGGGGGGGGCTGAAGCTGTTAGGAATGGTGGAAGTTGAAGTCCAAAACAACTGGAGGGCCCAAGTTTGCCCACTCCTGGTGTACACTTATATACACTAGGTTCAAATCAAATAAGCCACTTAAGTGGCTGAAGAGGAAAAGGAAGAGGCCTGAGGCTGTTAGGAATGGTGGGAGTTAGGAATGGTGGGAGTCCAAAACACCTGGAGAGAGGGCCCAAATTTGCCCATCCCTGCTCTTCAGTCATTCACATTTAGGGTTTTTAGAGTGATGGTTAGAGGAATGGGACCTTCATAAACCAGTTCCCTTATAAATGTTCCCAATCCTCCTGCCCCAAATGACTAACAACCAGAGCAGTACTTTCTTTCTCTGGGACAGAGGAAAACCCACCTTCCCTAACCACCAGAATCCTCAATACACAGCTGTGGGGCTGACATTTTATTCGATGGGACCCCCTGGTTTTTGAGCTTCAAGGAATGGAGTTGTGCCAGTGAAGATGTCATTTAAAGCAAAATCCTATCGACTTGGATTGGTGTGGAAGTTGGGAGCACTTTCTTCCCCCTTCCCCCAGGCCCTTTCCCTCAGAGATTACATATTTCTCTTTCCAAAAATATTCTCTTAACCAAGAGGGTTGAGATTATGACACAAAATGTCGGGAGGAAAGTGTAAATGTCTTCCCGTCTGAATCGCTTTTTGTGTATGGGTTGAGGGGGAGAAGTCATGTTATGAATAAAACACCTGGGGTGTCATCTGGAGTCTGGCGTTTACCACCCAAACCACGAACATTAGTGGAAGTTAGGAAGGTGGACATTTGTGCCCACTGATAGCCTTCGGTGGCAGTTTCATCCTCTCCATTAAGGGAGATCGGTATCAATGGAAGGAAAAGACAACTCGCTCTGAAATTCCCAGCCTGAAATGGAGGGAAGCCCAGCTCCCCTCAGAGAGAGAAAAAGACCGAATAGAGCTGGATTAGCTCTCTATAATGTTGTGAATTGTGTATAAAGCCTTCCTTGTCCCTAGAAGAAGCGAGGAAGGACCTGAGGGAAGTTTCCCATGTTCTTCCCCTCACACAAATATATAGATGTATCCCTTGACTCCATTCTCCGTGGTGGAAAATGTCGCCATGAGGTGGTGGGCCCCTGTCAGCGGGGAACCAAGACAAAATAGAGGCGACCAAAATGTGTGATAAATCTCATGAAGGAGAGTTAATGGAAGGCAAGGGTGAAGATGGGAAGGAGGTGGAAGACGTGGGTCGTCTTGAAGACAAGGGTGAAGAAGGAAGAGAAGAAGAAGCGAAGGAGAAAGGCGGGAAGCGAGGAGGCGTGCCTTGATACTGAGGAGAAATTGACTCTGAGGGGAGAAAGTGGAAGAAGGACGGCTGTTTTGGGGGGGGGGGATCCACAGATTATGTTTCCACAGGACACATAAAGCATAACATAAACATTAAGACCTCGCAGCTCCTTTGGGGTCGTGAAATAAACACGGGTCGAGCCTTTTTCGGGGTCTCAAAAATCAGGGAGGAGTCCAAACTGAGGGGATGTGCCTTGATACTGAGGAGACATGGACTCTGAGGGGGGGAAGTGGAAGGACGACGGGATCCACAGATTATTTTTCCACAGGACACAGAAAGTATAACATAAACACATAAAGTATAACATAAACATCTCCTTTGGGGTCGTGAAATAAACTCGGGTCGAGCCAGTTTCGGGGTCTCCCAAGTCAGGGAGAAGGAGTCCAAACTGAGGGGACGTGCCTTGGTGCTGAGGAGACATTGACTCTTGAGGGGGGGAAGTAGAAGAAGGACTAGGGGTTTTTGTGGGGGGAATCCACGTGTTATGTTTCCACGGGACACCTAAAGCATAACATAAACATTAAGACCTCGTAGCTCCTTTGGGGGTCGTGAAATAAACATGGGTCGAGCCCATTTCGGGGTCTCACATGTCAAGGAGAAAGTGTCCCAACTGAGGGGATGTGCCATGGTGCTGAGGAAACATTGAGGAAGGAAAGTGGAGGAAGGATTAGGGGGTGTTTTGGGGGGGGGGGTCCACGTGTTATGTTTCCACGGGACACATAAAGCAAAACCTTGCAACTCCTTTGTGGTCGTGAAATAAACACGGGTCGAGCCTATTTTGAGGTCTCAAAAGTAAGGGAGAAGAAGTCCAAAATGAGGGGACGTTCCTTGGTGCTGAGGAGACGTTGACTCTGAGGGGAGAAAGTGAAAGGACGAGGGGGTTTTGTTTTGGGGAGGGTGTCCACTTGTATGTTTCCACGGGACACATAACATAAACATCAAGACCTCGCAACTCCTTTGGGGTCGTGAAATAAACACGGGTCGAGCCTATTTTGGGGTCCCAAAAGTCAGGGAGAAGGAGTCCAAACTGAGGGGAGGTGCCTTGATGCTGAAGAGACATTGACTTTGCGGGGAGAAAGTGAAAGGACGAGGGGGTTTTGTTTTGGGGAGGGTGTCCACTTGTATGTTTCCACGGGACACATAACATAAACATCAAGACCTCGCAACTCCTTTGGGGTCGTGAAATAAACACGGGTCGAGCCTATTTCGGAGTCTCAAAAGTGAGGGAGAAGAGGGAGTCCAAACTGAGGGGGAGTGAGGAGAAATGGGGTCACTGAGGGAGAAAGATAGGGACGAGGACGATACAAAGACAGGTGTGAATGGATCAGCCAGAAAGCGAGGGACCCCGGTTATGTCAATCCAGAAAGGGTTGGGAATGAGAGAAGACAAAGGGCTGGGAAAGAAAGCAGGTAGAGAGGGAGGCGAGGAAGGAAAGGCACAGCAAAGGGATTGCCTGTTTTAAGTCGCTAACAAATGGGAGTCGGCCCTTAAAACTGCATTTCCACAGTGTTTGAGTTACTAAGACCCGCGAGTCTGCCTCGTATGTGGAAGAAGAAAAGCTATAGAAAGTCTGAGGAAGGACAATGGAAGGGAAGGAGCTGCTTCGTGGGGGGAAACCTGGGGAAAGGAAGGGGCCTGAGGCAGTTAGAAATGGTGGGGGTTGAAGTACAAAACACCTGGAGGGCCCAAGTTTGGCCATCCCTGCTCTTCAGTAATTCACATTTAGGGTTTTTAGAGTGATGGTTAGAGGAATCGGATCTTCATAAACCAAGCCCCTGAGAGCTGTTCAGCAGTGGAACTCTCTGCCCCCGAGTGTGGTAGAGGCTCCTTCTTTGGAAGCTTTTAAACAGAGGTTGGATGGTCATCTGTGGGGGTGCTTTGAATGCAATTTTCCTGCTTCTTGGCAGGGGGTTGGACTGGATGGCCCATGAGGTCTCTTCCAACCCTATGATTCTATGAAATGTCCCCAATCCCCCTGCTCCAAATGGCTATCAATGGAATAGTGGGAGTTGAAGTACAAAACACTTGGAAGGCCAAAGTTTGCCCATGCCTGCTTTTCGGTCATTCACATTTAGGGTTTTTAGTGTCATGGTTAGAGGAATAGGATCTTCATAAACCAAGCCCCTTATAAATTTCCCAGGAGGAAAAAGGAGAGTGGGTTCAGGTTTTAAGGTAGGGAAACTGAGCCTGGAGGGACCACTCTCATCACCATCATCATTATTAATTGCGTCCAGAAGAGAGAGGAAATTTGGGGGGAGGGGTGCCATTACCTTCACATCTGAACCCACCCTTCTCCTCTCTAAGACCTTGATGGTGGTTTTGGGGAGGAGGAGAGTGGGTTCAGGTTTTAAGATATGGAAACTGTTGTGACCACTACCAACAGCATTGTTATAATATTTATTTGCCCAGAAGAGAGGAAAAGGGGGGAAATTGGATGTCATCATCTTCACATGAGTTGTCAAAGTCTTGCATGGCCGGGAATCACTGGATTGCTGTGAGTTTTCCGGTCTGTATGGCCATATTCTTGAAACATTTTCTCCTGACGTTTCGCCCACATCTATGGCAGACATCCTCAGAGGTTGGGAAATCTGTTGAAAACTAGGCAAGAGGGGTTTTTATATATCTGTGGAAAGTCCAGGATGGGAGAAAGAACTCTTGTCTGTTTGAGGCAAGTGTGAATTGGAAACCTTGATTAGCATTGAATAGCCTTGCAGATTCAAGGACTGACTGCTTCCTGCCTGGAGGAATCCTTCATTGGGAGGTTTTAGCTGGTCCTGATTGATTTCTGTCTTCACACTTGAACTCACCCTTCTCCTCCCTAAGACCTTGACGGTGGGTTCAGGTTTAAAGACAGGCATGGGCCAATTTGGGCCCTCCTCCAGATGTTTTGGACGTCAACTCCCAGAATTCCTAACAACTTCAGCCCCTTCCTTTTTCACCTCAGACACTTAAGTGGTGCATCTACATCAGGCATGGGCCAACTTGGGCCCTCCAGGGGTTTTGAACTGCAACTCCCACCATTCCATTGTATGCCAGAGAGAGGGACTCAGGCTGTTAGGAATGGTGGGAGTTGCAGTCCAAAACCCCTGGAGGGCCCAAGTTGGCCCATGCCTGTCTTAAGACGTGGAAACTGTGGTGACCACTACCAGCAGTATCGTTATATTAAAGTATTTCTTTGTTCAGAAGAGAGAGGGGAAAAGGGGGGGAGGGGTTGGTTTGAGGGAAAACCTGGGGTGCCACCACCTCCTCGATGGTCTGAGTGGGTTCGGGTTTTAACACGTGGAAACTAGACCCCACGCTTGGTCTGTGAGGACCTCTAGAAGCATTACTATATATCTCAGGCATGGGCAAACTTCGGCCCTCCAGGTGTGTTGGACTTCAACTCCCACAGTTCCTGACAGGAGCCTTAACTGGGGGGTGGGAGAGGAGGAGGAGGAGGCTGTCAGCCCAAAGGTGCAAAGGTAGAGAGAAGAAAATAGTACAAAGGCAGAGTAAAAGAAAAGCCAACCGGAGAGGTGTGCTATGGGGAAGAATAGAAAGCGATTGTGAGAGAAAGGTGAGAGAAAAACCAGGAAAACGTGGAGAATGTGGGAATGGATGTGTTGGAAAAAAGAGAAGGAATATTGTTGTGTTAGGAGGGAGAAGGAATATCGCATTGTATGCCAGAGAGAGGGACTCGGGGAGAGAGGAAAAGAGAGAGGAAGAGAGGGAGGAGGTGGAACTGGCTGCAGCGTGAAAGGGGGAAGGAGGGGGGACTGGGCGAAGAGAGAGAGAGAGAGAAGGAGAGAGGGAGGGAGGGAGGGAGAAAAAGGGAGAGAGGGAGGGAGGGGGAGGAGGCGGCTCCAGAGTCGCGGCGGGATTGGGTCACGGCGAGGCTGGCGGGGCTGCGGCTCCTCCGACACTAATTCCCAGGCCACCCTTAAGGAATGAGGCGCCCCACGTGACCGCTGGCGGGGCGGGCGAACTCTGAGCCATTTTGGGGACGGTGTCAGTTTCCAGTGTGTGCCTTCGGCGTTGCATTCTCCGCCCGCCCTCCCGCTTCTCTCTTCTCCTCTCTCCCCCCTCCTCTCCTTTTCCTCGCCGCCACTCTCGCTCTCCTCCTCCTCCTCCCTTTCCACAACAACTATAAGCAGCATATTCGATTTTTATTATTTTTTTAAAGGGAGGGAGGAGAAAAAGCAGAGAGGGAAGGGAAGAAAGAGCTGCCTTCCTTCCTTCCTTAAGAGCGAGAGAGAGGAAAGGGATCGGAGGGAGAGCGAGAGAGAGAGAGGGAGAGACAATGGGCTGCTGCTGGTGGAGGAGGCGGAGGCGGAGAGGCAAACGCTCCGGATTATAGAGCGAGTTCTGTAAGATCCCAGCCTTGAAGGAGGAGGGGGAAACGGAGAGAGGAGGGAGAGAAGGAGGAGGGGGAGAAGGAGGGCCAACGCGGAGGGGTCAACGGAGGAGAAGACCCCGGGTGTTTCTGGAACTAACATGAGCCGAGTGCAGCGGCAGCAGCAGCAACAGCAGCAGCAGCAATACGCTTATTGCAATTGACAGCGTCTGCAGTTCATTTCAAGATGGCCGCTTGGCTCACATTCATTTTCTGCTGAACGACTTTTAACTTTCATTGTCTTTTTTTGGCGGCTCGGATCGCCCCCCACCCGCGCCTTCCCGCCGGTATGTATGGAGGGGTGTGCTTTCCAGGCCGGGCCAAGGGTGCTGGGGGGCTCGGGGGCGGTTTCGGAGGGCTTTGGAGGCTCGGGGGTGGGTGGGGGGGAAGCTAGGTGTCCCCGAGCTCTCCTCCTCCTCCTGCTCCGTCTGGGAAAGCGCTGACAGTCTGCTTCAGCCACACACACACACCGCAACCCGCACACCCTTCTCTCCCCCCCTCCCCCTTCGCTTTCTCGTCCAGAGAGATCCACCCAGGAGCAGCCACGCGTTTCGTTGCGCGCCCTCACTTCGCAGGTTTTAGTTCCTTTCTCCCCCCAGCTTGGCCCTAGAGTCTTCCTGGGCACATGTCCTCGGAGGAGAAGATTTATACTTTCAGCCCTTACTAGCCGTTCCTGGGCAGACCTCTTTGTTGGAAGGCAGATTTTGATTGAACGGGGACAGTTCGTGAAATCCGGGACCGCCTGGGTCATGGGATGGCGATTCCTTTGTAAAGAAAGGGGTCGGCGGGGGGCTCAGGAGACGAGCAGCTCCCCCATTTTATAGAGATGGGTCCGGGGAAGGGTTGCGGTCCCGATGGAGGCTGCCTCGAGCCGGTGGGGGCCCCCGAAGAGATTTTATTAACTTAAGTTCGGGGGGACTCCTGGGTGAAAATGAAGTGCTGATAAGATGGCGGTCCTCGCGTCTCTTCCACCGTGTGCCCCTTTCGTTTGTTGTTAAAATGCTAAACCTCCCAGGCTTCGAGGAGGGCAGGGGAGGGCGAAGTTGTGAAAATAACTTTGGGGGAGAGAAGTGGGTTGCGCCCCTGATCCTGAAGATCTTTCCCCTGTTCGGATTGAGGAGGATTGGAGAATGGGATGGAAGAGACGGTTTCCAGGGTGGCGTTTGATTTATTTAATTGGCGTTACTTTCTCTGAAACATACCCTTCCTTGGAGAGCTGGATAAAAGGCGAGTTAGTTGGGACACCTTGCTAGTGTTTGGGATGGGACGGATCTGTGTTTTGCTTCCTGCTCTCATGGTATTTAGTGTGTCTTATCCATGAAACCTGCTTGCGGATGTTCATGTAAAATCACTTGGCCTGACAGGACAGGACTGGCAGAAGGGTCAGGTTTTTGCTGTTTTAGTGCTGGGAAGGAAACAAGACAGCACTACCAAAGCAAAGCTTCTCTCTGAACCACTAACACTCCGGCCCCAAACCCAAATATTTGGGTTAGTTGTGAGGTCACGTTATCTCCTTGAAGTGTGGAAAACCTCTCTCTTGTGTTGTCGACCGGAGTCACTGGGTTGCTGTGAGTTTTCCGGGCTGTATAGCAATATTCCTGAAACATTTTTTCCTGACGTTTCGCTCACATCTATGGCAGACATCCTCAGAGGTTGTGAGGTCTGTTGGAAACTAAGCAAGTGAGGTTTATATATCTGTGGAAGGTCCAGGATGGGAGAAAGAACCCTCTCTCTCTCTTTCTTGTTGGTTAAATATATGTAGCTTTGAGTTGTTGCGCGTTTATAAAAACTGAACTGTTTGGTTCTAGTCTAGTTGAAAAGATAGGGTTGTGTACTTATGTGATTCTTTTTGCCTACAATCTATAATCGCAGACTTTGCCAGAAAGTTGGCTGATGTCTCCTAAAAGTGATGGGAAGTGATTGTTTGGGAGACTATCTTGAAGTTCCCATTTGCTACTTGTAGGAATCTGGTTATAGAGCAATCATGGGCAAACTTGGGCCCTCCAGACTTCAACTCCCACAATTCGTAAGAGCCGGTAGGCTGTTAGGAATTGTGAGAGTTGATGTTCAAAACACCTGGAGGGCCCAAGTTTACTCATGCCTGTGACAGAGCCATGACCCTGGCTGGATTTATGCATGTTAGCACAATTATGGGGGGTGTGTGCTATTTTTGGTAATGTCTGGGGGCATACACAGACACAAGTGTTTATAATAACTTTCCCCATATTTTAAACTGTTATTGATGTCATCCAGAATTAGCTCCAACCTTACAGGGCAAGCAAAGGGAGACTTGATGTCCTGTGTGGTTGTAGGTGCATCTTGGCTCCCTATAAGCTCATCTGGTCAGTGAGTAGACCGAGAATGAGTAGACCAAACACACACACAAGTATTTATAATAACTTTCCCCATATCTTGAGCTGTTATTGATGCCATCCAGAATTAGCCCCAACCTTACAGGGCAAGCAAAGGGAGACTTGATATCCTGTGTGGTTGTAGGTATATCTTGGCTCCGTTTAAGCTCACCTGGTCAGTGAGTAGATGAGAAACCTCTGCACATTTTCCAGTACAGATGTCTGATGTTGATGCATAGAGTCCCACTGGCCAGTCACACCAGGATTTGGTTCCATTTTCCTTTATATTTGGAGGTAACTCCAGCAAGGCCTCCAACTTCTCAGTTTGGCTGCTTGAGCCAGTTGTTACCATCTCAAAGTTTTTGTAGTTGCATGGGGAAGATAAGGGCTATGGGAATTAAATATACTTACTGGTTTTAAAAGTCAGTGCGGTAGTATCTTAACTGCAGCTCTGCACGACATTGACAGGAGGGAGAGAACTTTGTGGTATTGGGAAGCTGAGGAGCAGCAGAAACTTAAACTCCCCTCCTGGAGGAGTTGGTGTGTTTGGTAATAAGACGCTCTTTATGTTTATATATGCAGTGTGTACTGTAAACGTGAAGAGGGGAGGAGAGTGTAGACATGTAGAGCGTGTGTTGGCATCTTTCGAGGAGGCGAGTGTCTCGTTGCTTTGAATCAATGTACTAGTTTGAGATCCTGAGTGTCAGAGATACTTCTGCCCACCGATAATAAATATTGTGGGGTTAAGGGGGAAGAGGGTAGACTCGACAGAAAAGGTCTCACGCTTGGTTTGAGTTTGGATTCTCTGTTCCCGTGAAATGAAACATGTGCTGACCCCTTTGGGTTGCCTCGGTGTGTCTCCCTTCCTGCAAGGGAATACATTTTAGCTAGACCTTCATGCATCTGTTTATGGTCCAGGTATGAGGCACATTGCGTGGTCTTAAGGAGAGAGAGAGAGAGAGAGAGAGAGGAAAGGGGGCGGTGATTAACGTCAGAGGAACGTAAATCATTTCCCACCTGACAAAAGGCAAAGGCAGAGACCGACCTCAAAGCTGGCCAGATCCCAGCGTAAGAGTGGAGGCTTTCTTATGTTGAGAAGATTTCTGAAATACTATCCAGTGTGTTGGTGTTTCTACCAATCTCTCTAAGGCAGGCATGGGCAAACTTGGGCGCTCCCTCCAGGTGTTTTGTTCTGCAACTCCCACCATTCCTAACAGCTTCGGGCCGAGGCTGTTAGGAATGGTGGTAGTTGCAGTCCAAAACACCTGGAGGGCCGAACTTTGCCCATGCCTGCTCCAAGGCCAAGGCTGCCTCGCCTCTTCCCTAGATGCCCCCCAATTTCCCTTTTCATTGACTTGCTTGCCTCTGTGTGATGCGGAGAAGTTCCTTCTGTGTAGTATTTACACAAAGAGACACACCTCCATTCCTTTCTCCTTATTTTCCCCTGTTTTTCAACCGGAGGTTGTGTAGAGACGATAAGGAATTGTGAGGCAAGGCGACATGTTCCTTCCAAAGTCTTTCCCATCCCAATTTTTCCCCCCCCCAACCCCCCCCCCCCCAATTTTGACCTCTTTTGGGAAGTGTTTTGCCTTCTTTCGACTGTGCTGGGTCCGGAGACAAGAGGGAATCAGCACAGAGCGAAGATCAAGAAACCCAACCTGTGTTTTAAGGGACGGAAAGAGAGAAGGAGAGGGAGCGGGGGAGAGGCGCGTTTGCTCCCACCCCGGATCTGATTGCGCCGTAAATTATTCTCCGCCGAGGTCGGTGTGTGTATGTATGTGTGTGCGCGCTGCATGCCTCGGGTGGGAGTTTCTAGCAAGACACACACACAGGGGGAGAGAAAGAGAGGGGGAGGGAGGGCTTGGCCCAGGGAAGAGCTCAGGAGGCCGCTGCAGGAGGCTGGGCAGCAACCTCTGGAAGGACTCCGTGCTCGTGAGTGTGGACTAAGCCTCCCATGTGGCCTCCGGGAGCATGGCCACGGCAGCTAGCATTCCCTCCCCCCAGGGGTTGGGCCACGGACCCCCCCCCCCCCCCCGTCCTCTCATACACAGCCTTTGCCTCTTTTCTCTCGCACACACACCCCGAGCGGGACTTTTCCGCTCTTCGTCTGAGATCTGGCGAAAGAAAAGGAGAGGAAAGGAGGGAGGCGAGGGCGGCGGCGAGGTCTCAGCTGCTGCTTCCTTGCCCCGAGTCGACGTGGATGGAGGCCCCCGAGAGGAGAGGAAAGGAGCCTCGCGCTTTCGCTCAGGAGGAGGAAGAGGAGGAGGAGGAGGCCTCCCGCCGCCGCCGCTAGCCCCGCTTTGGGCCTCCTCTCTCTGCCCTTCCCCTCCCTGCCCACCCCCTTGGCTCTCAAACTCCTACAAAAGTGGGGGGAGAGGTTTATTTTGAGGACTGGGGAAGCTGTTACAGGAAAGGCGGCTGGAGGCGTGGTGGGGAGGGAAGAGGGAAGATCCCCCCCCCCCCGAGGCCCAACAGGGTTCCCCCCTTTCACGGCCCCACTCCGCCCAGCCACGCCCCCTCTTCCCTTTTTCCTGCAGCTGCAACCCCCCCCCCCTTTCCCTTCCTTCCTCGCTTCCGCCCTCCACACACCACACAGGCGAGCTTCTGTTCCGGGGTTCGGTTCTCTCCTATCTCCGCCGCACCACCCGCAGACCCTCTTCCTTCCTTTCTTCCTGCCTTCCTCCCCTCCCCCTCCTCTCCCCCCTCCCTCGGTGCGCTCCGGGCGGTGGCAGGATGCCAAGTGTAAGTGTAAGTTGCTATAGCAACCCCCTCCTCGATAGAGCGGTTCCGAAGGCGCCTCCGTCCCGACGAGCCTCTTGGGCTGCTGCTGCTGCTGTTGGCGGCGGAGAAGGAGAGAAAGGAAGAGCAGAGGCAGAGCAGGCGCAGCTTCGGCCCGGTCTCCTCCTGCCTCCAGTCCCGCCGCCGGCCCTCCTTCCTTCTATTCCGCCTTGTCTGGCCGATGCCCGCCGCACCAGCCCCTCCTTCCTGCTCTTCCTTCCTTACTCCGTTACCCTTCCTCGCCGGACTCCGCCACCCTCCGTTTTCGACCTGGGAGCCTTTCCCTTCCTTCTCTAGAAAGGCTCCCTCCCCTCCGCGACACCCGCTTTCGCTCCACAGGTCCGTCCTCGGCCTCTTCCCCCTTCGCCAGCCCTTGTGTTTTCCTTTCCCTGCGGCTTGAGGTGCGGCGGGGGTGAGGGAGGGGAGGGGAGAGGAGGGGGGGCGTTTGCGAGGTGCAGAGGCCGCTTCCCCGCGCCTCCCTCCGCCTCACCGCCACCCCTTTCTCCTCCTCTTGCAGACCCCGCGCCAAAATGCACCGCACCACCCGCCTCAAGATCACGGAGCTGAACCCGCACCTCATGTGCGTGATCTGCGGGGGGTACTTCATCGACGCCACCACCATCATCGAGTGCCTGCACTCCTGTGAGTAGCCTCTCCTGCGAGGGAAGGAGGGAAGGAGGGAGGCCCTTGCTAGAGAATCCCCATCGGGAGAAGGATATTTCCCTTCAGCTCCTTTGAGAGGTTGCCCAGTTGCCCTTTAGGGATGAGGGGCGGCTCTAGAAAAAGATCGCTGCCTGACCCCAACTTGGCTGTTGTTTGGAGTCTTACTATACATACATGCTTATGCTTTTCTTATAGTCTGTAAGACATGTATCGTGCATTACTTGGAGACGAGCAAGTATTGCCCCATTTGCGATGTCCAAGTTCACAAAACCAGGCCGCTTTTGAACATAAGGTAGGACCGGTCGCTTTATATTAGGCAAGGGCAAACTTGGGTCCTTCCTTCAGGTGTTTTGGACTTCAACTCCCACCATTCCTAACAGCCTCAGGCCCTTTCCCTTTCCCCCTCAGCCGCTTAAGCGGCTGAGGGGGAAAAGGAAGGGGCCTGAGGCTGTTAGGAATGGTAGGAGTCCAAAACACCCGGATGGAGGGCCCAATTTGGACCCAAGCCTGCTTTATATCACAATTAGGGACTCTGTTTTCCTTGTGTTTCCTTGTGCCTCAAAGCCCAAATCTTAAGAGAGATGTCAGTTTGCTAATGGAAGTTCATATATGAACTTTGGTCTGTTTCAATTGGAATTTGGTCTCACCATCCAATTTCTTCTTTCTGTCCAGCCTGACCAAAAATGCAGATTGTTTATTTTTTTCTCTTTCATTTATTGCCATTTTATATGTTCTTAAATTTAGTCCAACGAAGTAAAATACTGATTAACAAGGCAAAAGTTAAGTAACTTTTCCCTCTTGTTTATCTGTATCCTTTTTTGCTACTTGGTGGTGTCAGCTTTACTTTATAACAACCAGAAAACGATTTTATGTTACCATTTTATTTTGTTATTATTTTTGTGGATAAATATTTGGTGATAAAAATCTCATGTTAAAATTGTATATGTTTCACGGCTAGGCATTTTGGTATAATATATTCTGGGGATTTTGAAAAGTGTTGGATGGAGATCAAATTTGAATTCTGATCCAACTCTATAATTTCTGTTGTCTTGGAATTTTATATTTTAGATCTGATAAAACTCTCCAAGATATTGTGTACAAGTTAGTACCAGGCCTTTTCAAAAGTAAGTAAGCAATTTGATCAACAAATCAGTTTGGATGCAATAAATAAATAATTTTGGGCCTTACTAAATGATCAATATGTGTTCTCATATAGATGAAATGAAAAGAAGAAGAGACTTTTATGCTGCTCATCCTTCTGCCGATGGTAAAAGCATTTATTCTTTGACTTAAAACTACCTTCCTTTCCAAAAGTTAAGATTTCTAGGACATTTCCCCCCAAGTATAGCCCATGAGAAATGTCAGGATAATACACAGCATAGTTCATTTAAATTTTTATTATACATAGTAAGAGCTATTTTAGTATTGGGATAAATCATTTTAGCTGTGTGAGATTTCCCCCCTTTTACTGAGTTTTGTTCTCATTCTTCCTGATTTGAATGTCAAAATGTAAATGACTCTGAACATTTCTGTGCAGCTGCCAATGGCTCTAATGAAGACAGGGGAGAAGTTGCAGATGAAGACAAAAGGATTATAACAGATGATGAGATAATAAGCTTATCCATTGAGTTCTTTGACCAAAATAGGCAAGTGTCAAAGCACTGTTTCACCTTATCTGTGCATTCATAGATCCCTCTTCCCTGATATAATTGTATACATCCTCTCCTTAGACTTGACCGGAAAGGAAACAAGGAAAAAGAGAAATCCAAAGAGGAGGTAAATACATATTATTTTCTCTTGCCTCTTCAGAAAATAATACTATTTAAATTATTTTTTCAGATCAAATAAGACAGGATTTAGTTTTATGTTCTCCCCACCCCACCTCAAATTAATAGCCAAAGAAGCTATTGTTAAGATAATTACTATACTTTCTTAGCAACTAAAAGTAACAGAGTTGTGACTGATGATTTCAAACATTTTGAAATATTTTGAAACATTTTCAAATATTTTGAAGTATTGGTTTTTCTGGTGGTTTTGTTGGTTGGGTTTTGTTTTAGTTTTCTGTGTGTTGTGGGATCCAGGAGTTGTCTGATCTTTTCTTTGTATTGTTCTGTTTCCATGATTACTGTGGCATTCCCCTTGTCTGCTGGGAGAATGATGATTTCTGGGTCGTTGTAGGTTTTTTTGGGCTATATAGCCATGTTCTAGGGGCATTCTGTCTTGACCTTTTGCCTGCATCTATGGCAAGCATCCTCAGAAGTAGTGATCATTTCTGGATCTGAGTTGTTTTTGAGGGCTTGTTTTTCTTTCCTTGTTATGTTACTGGGGGGAAGTTTAGTCTTCCCACCAAGCAACAAAATTACCAGAAAAAGATGCCTTGATCAAGAACTCTTCTTTTTTAGTATTCTAGTACATTTCCTATTCTTACTTCCCTGAAAAATAGTTTTAATAGGAAAAGCAGCTATATGTAATAATTAAACCATGCCATAGAGCTAATCAGTATGTTTTATATCTTGACTACTTCTTGTTGTAGTTCAGCAGTTAAGCCCAGGTGTGTTTTTGCTTTAACAATAACCTGTTTAGTGTATCTAACCTTCATGCATGGGAATGGTATAGTCAATTTTTTAACTGTATGCATTATTTCTTCAACACAATGCTCCATTAGGTGAATGACAAAAGATATTTGCGCTGCCCAGCAGCAATGACTGTAATGCACTTGAGGAAATTTCTGCGGAGTAAGATGGATATTCCCAATTCTTTCCAGGTATTTTTGACTTTATTTGTGTATGTAAAATTTCAAATAAAATGTGTGATATAATAATAATAATAATAATAATAATAATAATAATAATAATAATAATCTAATAATAATATAGCTTTTGATTATTCTCCTGATGCTGTTCACTGTTGAATGCTAAGCATGGTGTTAGGAAAGTGCTTTCATTCCTATATAATATAAAATTACATTATATATAAATGTAATGATCTATTTTCAGGAAAGGGAAGGGAAGCATAGGCCTCCTGAGCTGTTACGCCTTGGGCTGTGAGGTTTTCTCTTGCCTCCTGGCTGAGTATCACAGCTTTGTAGATTGCTTTGGGTTTAAATGTTTGAAGTCCAATGTATTGTAGAAGGCTTGCAGGAGTTGCTGTGAGTTTTCCAGGCTGTATGGCCTTGTTCCAGAAGCATTGTCTTTTGTTTCACCCACATCTATGTCAGGCATCCTCAGAAGTTGTGAGGTCTGTTGGAAACTAGGCAAGTGGAGTTTATATATCTGTGGATCAATGTCCAGGGTGGGAGAAAGAACTCTTGTCTGTTAGAGGCAAGTGCGAATGTTGCAGTTGATCACCTTGATTAGCACTGAATAGACTTGCAGTTTCAAAGCTTGGCTGCTTCCTGCCTGGAGGGGGAATCCTTTGTTAGGAGATGATTAGCTGACCCTGGGCCCTTCCACACAGGCATATAACCCAGAATATCAAGGCAAAAAATCCACAATATCTGCTTTGGTCTGAAATATCTGAATCCACATTGCCATATATTCCAGTTCAAAGCAGATAATGTGGAATTTTATTCCGCTGTGTGAAAGGGGCCCGTGATTGTTCCTTGAAGTCCTTTCCACGCCAGGACTATTCAGTAACTTTTGCTAATAAATCTAGCTCCTGGGTTTAAGGACAACAACATCCAAGCCCTTAAGAATAAGGCCTATATTATTGTGTTTTTGAAGCCCACCAAAAGTAGCTGAAACATTGAGAATCCCTAGAAAATAAACTCTTTTATCAGTTTAGTATGTTTAGGGTGAGATCTAGAACTATCTAGAAAAAATCCTAGAAGATAAAACTCTTTATAAGTTTAGTGTGTTTAGGATGAGATCTAGAACTATCTACAAAAAATCCTAGAAGATAAACTATAAGTTTAGTGTGCTCAGGGTGAGATCTAGAACTATCTAGAATCATCTAGAACTATCTAGTTGGGGTTAAAGCACTCAAAGAGGCCATGTAGACTATATTCTATATAGGATGCTCTTCACACAGTGAACCGAAGTCTCCTCTAACATTTCTTTATCAGATTGATGTCATGTATGAAGAGGAACCTTTGAAGGACTACTACACACTCATGGACATTGCCTACATTTACACCTGGAGAAGGGTAAATAAATACCTGCAGAGGCCTACCATGCCTGTCTTTTTGTTTATCTGTAAACTTGTTGTAGAATTAATGTACTTTGACTTCACTTTAACTGCATGACTCAGTGCTATAGAACAGGTCTGGACAAATTTGGTCCGTCCTGGTGTTTTGGACTTCAACTCCCACCATTCCTAACAGCCTCAGGCCCCTTCCTTTTCCCCCTCAGCCGCTTAAGCCTGAGGCTGTTAGGAATGGTGGGAGTTGAAGTCCAAAACACCAGGAGGGCCAAACTTTGCTCAGTCCTAGTTAGGAGAAGATAATATGTAGCAAAGTTCATGAAGAGCACACTGGGTCAAAGGAAAAGAGAGGTTGGGCCGGGCAGGAAGGCATGATACTGACCGGGTGTGTTTGTTTCTTGCCCCCCCCCCCTCAGAACGGCCCCCTCCCGTTGAAGTACCGGGTGCGACCTACCTGCAAGAGGATGAAGCTGGGCTTAAGCGCCGGTGGGGAGCTGGAGAGTGACTCTGGGAGCGAGAAGGGCGCCCCTTCCACCTCCTCGGGCCTCCTCACGCCGCCCTCCCTCCAGTCCCCGCACCCGCAGTTCCCCCACATCTCCAGCACCCACAACGGCACCGGCTCCAGCAGCCACCACCACCACCACCACCACCACTTCGGCAACCGGGCCCGCAAAGCCACCTCCCTCAACGGCTCCTCCTCGGCCACTTCCTGCGGCTGAGCGCCTCTCCTCCTGCCTCTCTCTCTCCTAGAGCTGTCTTTCCTGCCCTTCTGTCTCTCTCCACGCCGCCCGCCGCCGTTCAGCTTTAGAGATGCTAATCCCTACCTGACGTTTCCACACAAACAAACACACAGACGCTTTGGATATATAAAGCTGCGGTTGGATATATTTCCCCCCCTATGGATTGTTTCTTGAGGACTAGTAACGTCAAGCTAGCAAAAGAGACCCGGATGAGCTGGAAAGGAGGAAGACGGGTGCTTTTATATATTTGTTGGTGAAGCAAGCAAAAGAGACCCCGGATGAGCTGGGAAGGACAAAGAAGAGTGGTTTTTAAAACATTTATTTGTTGTTGGGGTTTTTTTGGCCTCTCTTCATCTATCTGCAACCTATTTCCTGGTTTCGGATTTGGGAATTGTCTGGAAATGGATGCAGATCAACCATGGGATGTAATTTGGCTAATGACTCCCTGTGTTTGCACTCCTCTTGGATGGCGACTTAGCTGTTTTGTCAAGTTCTCCAAAGCAACATGGATTCCCCCTTTCCTGTCTCCCTCCTGCGATATTGTGGATTGTTCTTTGTTGTTGGGTTTTGTTTTGGTTTTTTTGGCAACCTACTTCCTGGTTTTGGATTTGGAAAATGTCTCGAAATGGATGCAGATCAACCCTGGGATATAATCTGGCCAAACTCCTTGTATTCACACTACTCTTGGACAGTGACTTTTGTGAAGTTCTCCAAAGCAACGTGGATTTATCCCCTTTTCCCTGTCCCACTCCTGCCATTGGTCATCAAGACCGGATTGAATATTGTTGGGGAATCTGAGCTGTCAGGTTGGAGAATAACCCTCAGTTGAGGTGATTCCACCATCAATATAGCAGAGGACCAGAATCAAACTTCATAATCACTTACATGGGATGAGCTGGAATAAAAATACCCCTAAACTGGGGGGATTCCATCATAACTCTAGTACCAGAATCAAACTTCACAATCACATGTGATGAAATGGGATAAAAATAACCCTCAGTTGGGGTGATGCCATCATAAATATAGTACCAGAATCACACTTCATAACCAGCAGAAACTTACATGTGATGAGCTTCTGTATCTTAGGAAGGCACAGGATTGCAGAGTCAGAACTTTAGGTTCAAAAAGTATTTATTGAAGTAAAAGATAGAAAAGGTGTTACTAAATCCCATCTTCGGAAGAGGTAAAAAGATCCATGCAGCTACATTTTGCCTGTAGAGAGGGGCAAAATGCCCCCTCACTGGAAGGAAGAAAAGGCAGAAGAGGAACAATGGTCAAGCCAGGGCAATAAAACTTAAAGGGGAAGTTCCATTCCTGTATCATCAAAGGGGGGGGGGGAGTAGCTAGCCGGAGGACTTAAGACAAAGCCCTTTTTGGGAAACATGCATGGGAAAGTGGCCATCAGTTCAATCCTATCTCTAGCCTAGCTACTCATTGAGGTCTGGGAACTTGATGACACAAGAAACTTGTGCAGTCCAGGGATGACACCCAACAAATATGCATAGGACCGTGCATATAGGTCGCCACGTCACTGTGAACCACGATTTCTAGCTTTATTCGCCCTTTGGATTTGTATGTTGTATCCCTATCAAGCAAAGGAAAAGGGACCGAAGGAGGAAAGGGGGATCCGTGTTCATTCGGGTTTTGCCCTTGGTGTGTAAAGGAAAAGAATACACATTTCCTCGGAAAGGATCGGGTCATGGATGGCGTTGTTTCTGCGCCTGCTCAGCCATGCCATGCCGGTGTGTGACAAAACAGGAAGCAGCATTGTAAGATATATTTATAAATACTCTACAGAAAGTCTCGTGTTTGGCGCCTTCAGGGGGGCGGCTCTTCCAGGCCTGCCTTGCTCTTGCAGGCTGTGCCTGGCCTTGGCTGCAGGAGAGGGGCGCCTGGAGGCTGCGGGCCCGCAGAGCAAACTCACGCCGCCTTTAACCCGGAAGCGAATGTCGGCCTCGAAAGGATTGTGCGGGACTCTGCCTTGTTTCCCAGTGGCTTATCTTTTCTGTTTGTTTATTTACTTTTTACACAGTGTGATTTGTTTCTAAGGGCGCAAGGGAGGGAGGGAGGGAGGCGAGACCGGAGTCCTGAACGACAGAGAGACGAGGAAGCGGATTGAAAAGCGGATTGATTTGGTTTGATGTTGGGTTTGTGTCCCCTCTTCTTAAAAAAAACAAAGCACAGGGGGAAAAATTACCCAAAAGAAGCCATAAAAAGTGCGGGAAGGAACCTCTTCATTCATTCATTCTTCAGAAATCAAGTCGGTGGATGAAGGCTTTTGACCTAAATTTGTTTTTAATATATATCTATATATATATAATGTTATGTCTATGGTACAGTACTAACTGGTTGAAAGATTAACAGGTACTTTTTTGATATCTATCCTAAATCCCTTCTGCGAAATAGGCTTCTTGAAGGCGTCCAGTATGAAAGAGAAAGGATATTTTTTATTTTGTGAAGAACTCCCCTTCCCCCCCCCCCCAAATAAGTTTTCAGTTTGTGCTTTACTTTGCTCAGACTTTGTGTGTGCGCGCGTGTGTGTATCCTTCACTCATCAGTAACACATTTGTGGGGGTGTTTATCCTATATGCCTATTGTTTCATTGTTTGTATGGAGAAATCGTAGCTAAATATTTCATGGTCTCCAGTCTCCGAAAGAAGCACAATTCTATTGCTTTGTCTTGCTTACAGTCATTAAATCATTACTTTTGCATATACTCCCTTGCTGCTGCTTGTGACGTTTTAGTAACAGTTCCAGTGGCCATGAACTTTCTAAAATTTTTGAAGTTATAGGGAGAGAGAGGAACCTTAAAGCTGAGGTTGCAAATTAGGTATGTGCAAACTTGGGCCCTCCAGGCGTTTTGGACTTCAACTCCCACAATTCCTAGCAGCCTTAGGCTGCTAGGAATTGTGAGAGTTGAAGTCCAAAACGTCTGGAGGGCCCAGGTTTGCCCATGCCTGTTGTAAATACTAGGCCTAAAAATAACATATATTACAAAACTAATGTTGCAACTCAAAAGTCTATTTGAAATGGTTACAAAACTAATTGAAATCAAGTGGACGGAATTAAGGCCAAAAATATTATGGGTTTGGGCTCCAAGGATTCTGCTCCTCCAATTGGATCACCCATGCCTTGCTGATGTCAGTGGGATTTAGGGTGAAGTAAATATGCCTCACATACATTTCTATTCAAAAATTGCAAACAAATGAGTGAAACTTCAGAAGCTGGATGGATCCACACTGCTATATAATGCAGTTTCAGAATGCAGATTATATAAGGAGTCTCAGGCCCCTTCTACAGAGCTGAATAAAATCCCACGTCTGCTTTGAACTTGGATATATGGCAGTGTGGACTCAGATAACCCAGTTCAAGGCAGATATTGTGGGATTTTTTACCTTGATAATCTGGGATATAGAGCTATGTGAAAGGGCCCTGAATCAAATCTCAAGTTAGCTGCTTTGAACAAATGAGGGAAGCTTCAGAAGATGGATCTACACATTAACTGTACTGAATTATATTATATAGGAATCTCGGCCTTTTCCACACAGCTGAATAAAATCCCACATTATCTACTTTGAACTGAGATATATTGCAGTGTGGACTCAGATAAGCCTGTTCAAAGCAGATAATGTGGGGTTTTCCACCTTGATTTTTTGGGATATAATGCTATGCGGCAATTTTGCTGGGGAAAGTGGAAGGCAAAAGGAAGAGGGGCCGACCAAGGGCAAGATGGATGGATGGCATCCTTGAAGTGACTGGACTGACCTTGAAGGAGCTGGGGATGGTGACGGCCCGACAGGGAGCTCTGGCGTGGGCTGGTCCATGAGGTCACGAAGAGTCGGAGACGACTGAACGAATGAACAACAACAACAACAAACAATGCTATGCGGAAGGGCTCTGAATAAAATCTCACATTATCTGCTTTGAACTGGAATATATGGCAGTGTGGACTCAAATAAGCATGTTCAATGCAGATATTGTGGGAGTTTCCACCTTGATAATCTGAGATATAGCGCTATGTGGAAAGGCTCTGGATAAAATCCCACATTATTTGCTTTGAACAAATGTGTGAAGCTTCAGAAGCCGGATCTACACTGCCATATAATGCAGATTAACTGCACTGAACTAGATTATCTAGGAGTCTCAGGCCTCTTCTACATAGATGAATAAAATCCCACATTATGTGCTTTGAACTGGAATATATTACAGTGTGGACTCATATAAGCCTGTTCAATGCAGATATTGTGAGATTTTCCACCTTGATACACTAGGTTATATGACTGTGTGAAAGGGCCCTCAGGCTGGATTTCTACTGCCATATAATGCAATTCAACGCACTTAAATCTGCACTCTGAAACTGTATAATATAGCAGTGTAGATGGGCCAGAGAGATAGTAGTGCAGGTATTCATTTCCATATAAACAAGTCGGTTTTAGCTAGATCATGGATGCTTGTTCACAACAGATGAAAAACACAAGAAATGAAGGTGGATTTTAGAAGGGAAGGGAAATTTTAAAAAAACAGAACAATTGCCAGTCTTGATACAGAATAACAGCATAAATCTTGTATCTGATTAATTTCTCCAGTAAGTAAGGTTGGTAAGGAACACCTTGTTCCTTTATTATTCCACCAAAACAAATCCTTCCAAGGGCCCTTCCACACAGCCCTATATCCCAGAATATCAAGGCAGAAAATCCCACAATATCTGTTTTGAACTGGGTCGTGTGAGTCCACACTCAGATAACGTGGGACTTTCTGCCTTGAAATCCCGGGATATAGAGCTGTGTGGAAGTATAACAGTCTATATACTTTGGCGGTATCTGCCCCAATTCCATCCTTCGCCAGGAGTGAAAAGTATTAAATCCTGTCACATCATAATAAATAGGACTTTCGCCTCCTTTGGACTACTTCTGGGAAAAAGCCTTACTTTCTTTAAGAAGAGGCCAACGGGATGAAGATAACTTGCACGTGTGACGGGTCTGTGTGTGTATCTTGGCAGCCTTCCTCCAACTGTTAAAACCATAGATGAAACAATCCACACAAGGCCAACATTGAACCCCGAGTGCCCATGAATCAAGCGGAGTGTGCTGGTTTTGGATCCAGTTCAACAACGTCGGGTTTTTCCATTTAAACACTAGCCAGATGTTGGCATTTTATGGCTTGGCGATGGAAAGAAAGAAGCGGGATGAATGGCATGCACGGAATATCACTGGGATCAGAAGGAGAAAGTTGTATCTTCCTTTGCTGGTGGATCTAGCATGGGCATGGGCAAACTTGGGCCCTCCAGGTGTTTTGGACTCCAACTTCCACCATTCCTAACAGCCTCAGGCCCTTTCCTTTTCCCCCTCAGTCGCTTAAGTGGTTGAAGGGGAAAAGGAAGGGGCCTGAGGCTGTTAGGAATTGTGGGAGTTGGAGTCCAAAACACCTGGTAGGGCCCAAGTTTGCCCATGCCTGATCTAGCATCTCCCTTTCATCCATTTGAATTCAGCTCCCAAGATCAGAGACCAGTCTAGAAGGCTGTTTTCTGGACAACAAACACATTTGGGGAAGAGGATGTCCAAGAGCCATGGACACAAAGAAAATCCCCTTTCTGTGGAAATAAATGAATTAGTCCTTCATATTGTGACATGCAGATACTTGGTTTGGGAGATAATTTTGCAGTGTCTGCTTGGAAATAAGTCCCACTTAGGCACTTATAAAAGAGTGGATAAGAGATTGCAATTTGTACATAACTCCCCAGAATATGTCCCACTTGAATACAAAAGGGTAAGAAGCCAGACCTTGAAACTGCTAGGCCATTAAATGCTAATCAAGGTGGTCAATTGAAATTTTCACACCTACCTCAAATAGACGAGATTTTTGTCATTGTCATTATGTGCTAATCAAGGTGGTCAATTGAAATGTTCACACCTACAACAACCCAGACAAGAGTTCTTTCTCCCACACTGGGCTTTCCACAGATATATAAACTCAATTTTCTTAGAGTCCAACAGACCTCACAACCTCTGAGGATGCCTGCCATAGATGAAGGTGAAATGTTAGGAGAGAATGCTTCTTGAACATGGCCATCCTCACAACAACCCAGCGAATACAAAACAGTTTGTTTCCAATGTATGCTGATGTATTCACTATTGTAATTAGTTCAGATCTATTCAAAATAAGTCCAATGAGTTCCATGCGACTTATTTCAATGTAGGACTGTATACAAGACTTTAAGTCCCAATGAGTTCAAGGCAGTTTATTTCCACTTAAGACTGTGTATGTGAGATTGTACATAGTACAGGTCTGCTCCGAAGACTTGTGTATATATGTTTGCAGCTTCTCATTGCAAGTCCATGGCAGGTCTACTCAGAGGTAAGTCCCACTGAGTGTAAGAGAGCTAATTTTAAGAGACGTCTGGACAGCAACCAGAGAGCCAGGGATGTACACCAAACTGAAAGTCGGCAGGGCATCGCTTGGCAAGGACCTTGTTTTTGGTGACAGGCTGTCAGCCTCGAAGCGCTGGAGGGCTGATCCATGTGAAGAATGGCTTCTGAACATGAGCAGAGTGCCTTTCCCTGTGCCACACTCACAGAAGAAACAAA